GCGGACAATTCTCACCATCGAACTTAGTCAAGGTATTGATGTAATGAAACTATACACCAAGTTTCATCACTCTTACTTAATTAGAACTAAAGTTATCGTGTCCCAAAGCATCAACGAATCAAATTGCTTATCTCTACTTACCATCTTTGCACTCTATCAAGGCATTGACCCAATAAACACCTACACCAAGTTTGAACATTCTAGCTCAATTAGAAGGAGAGTTATTGTGTTCCAAAGTCTTGGCCAATCAAATTGCTTATCGCTCTGCTTACCCTGAGCAGAAAATGCTCAATATCGAACTTAGTCAAGGTATCGATGTAATGAAACTATACACCAAGTTTCATCACTCTCACTAAATTGGAACTAAAGTTATCGTGTCCCAAAGTATCAGCCAATCAAATTGCTTATCTCTACTTACTCTAAGCAGAAAATGCTCATCTCCACACCACTTTAAGGCATTGACCTAATAAACACCTAAACCAAGTTTGAACATTTTAGCTCAATTAGAGGGAGAGTCATTGTGTTCCAAAGTCTCGGCCAATGTAATTGCTAATCGCTCTGCTTACCCTGAGCAGAAAATGCTCATTATCGAACTTAGTCAAGGTATTGATGTAATGAAACTATACACCAAGTTTCATCACTCTCGCTTAATTAGAACTAAAGTTATCGTGTCCCAAAGCATCAACCAATCGAATTGCTTATCTCTGCTTACCCTAAGCAGAAAATGCTCATCTTCGAACTCCATCAAGGCATTGACCTAATAAACACCTACACCAAGTTTGAACATTCTAGGTCAATTAGAAGGAGAGTTATTGTGTCCCAAAAAGTGTGACGGACAAACAGACGGACGGACAGACAGACAGACAGACGGACAGACAGACAGACAGACGGACGAACCCATTTTAATAGTCCCCTGCTTTCTTCGAAAGGCGGGGGACAAAAACAAGTGTTGTGTTGTACTGTTTTTAACTGCTAGAAGCATCAATACAAATAGGGCGACTTTGTACGAATACTCCTCGAGGTGAAATGTTTGTTCAAACAGGTTGTCGAAACCATCACAAGTGCATTGTCCAATCAAATAGCACAGATAATTTAGATTAATGTGTCGACAGAATAGATTAAATTCTTCCAAACGTACAACACCTAAATGTAAATGATGTCGGAAGTTCAATTTAGGGTGGTGATACCAAAGCCTCGAGCACAACATCCGTCATAACGTTAAGCTAAATAGAATTTTATCCAACAGCAAAAATTGGGAGCAAAATATGTAACCTCAAGAAATGTACATACAGTGCGGACTCACTACCAGGAGGTCGCAGATTCGATCTCGGTGTTAGCCTAGAAGTTTCTCTGGAATTTTGTCAGTCTTGCATGACGGAGGGCCTTACATCTTTGCACCCACGTAACAGAACCATTGGCAGTTGGAAATCGAGACGAGACGGTCGTATCTCCGCTGTCCGAGCAAAATTTCCCTCGTAGCACACTGCACTGCGTCTGTCCGTCTTCATTAGCTCGGTTTGTGCAAAAGAAAAAAGCGGGTCGTTAAACCCCATTTAATTTTATTGCACAAAAGGTATGTTTGTGTTACTAGCTGTCCACACGCGCTTGCACGAGTAGAAACACAAAGTAGTAGGCACATATCACTCCCCTTATACCCCACATTTCAGCGTGATGGCAGCGATAGTGTAGCTGTTAAACCCTAACGGATATACATACAAACGACACTCACAATATATATATACAGCTATCGGGACAAGACCAAAGGTATTGCCAGAAATAAACAATAGCCTAGACAAAATAATCTTCGATCCCCTTTTGTAATAGACATTAATAGATTGAAAAGAACTGCAGTATTAACAGAAAGCTTTCTCAACAGACAAAGTTGATTGGTAAAAACATTTATTTATAGAGCCTTGATCTATTGTCGTGCCTACAAAAACCACAATTACTGTCTATCACCACTCACTGTTGGCAACATTTTATGGGTTATGTCCAACTACCATAAAAGAATCAATTTCCTTTGCACATTATGTTAAAAGCTCTGAATCACTACAAATAATACGTATCTCCAAAATAAACATATAACCTTTACTGACAGTGTCAGTATATACAATGAAAATAAATTGGGGTTTAACGTCTAAGACAGGCATGAGTCATGCAGTGTGCTATGAGGAAGTTTTGTTCTAAGATCAGTGCCACACAAACGGCCTAGATAAGCTTTGTGAAAACTTATAGCTTTCGTTTTACCTGATAAAGAATTTGTCTAAGCATATAGTTGTCTTTCAAGCTCGGTTTACATAATTATGTCTTCATGCACATCCATAAGTTCTAGCTAGGTCGTATTGGTATCAAGGTTGGTTGTTCGGCCATCGTCACTGACAAGGTTCATGTTATGTAGGAAATAAAATCTCATGCCATTTCTATCAATTTTCAGACCATAAATCAACAGAGAAAACTTAACCCAAAACTATACACAGAACGGATTCGGTGTCCCGTATATATTTTTAGACAGTGTCTAGCTATGTAGGCGACCCGTGTCATATTCCTCCTGAAACACCGGCTTTGGCAATTCCAGATACTTTGGTATGTTCCTCAGGTGATATCTGCGTACTATTTCTCTAATTGACACTTGAAGACTTTAAAGGTGATTGTTGAATCGCTAAAGGGAATGTCAGTCAAAACATGGTTAATTTCTTTTTAATATTCACAAAGATGTGATCATGAATTGACATTTCCCAACATTTGATATTCCCTTGCTTTTCTTAATGTATTTGGTTACATTTTAGAGAGGATTAACCAGCTAAAACGATGATGTCCGATAAATGTAACCAGCGGCTTTAAGATCGATTGTATTATAGTTCATTTAGTTGGGTTCTTTACTTCTTTCACACTACAACCATAAGCCCATGGATAACCGTTTTACTCTTAATTAATCACCCCATTTCAGACTATACATAACCTACACAATTATTACGCAAATAACAAAAAATAAGTACGAGCATAGGACGTCATAACAAAAATTGAAATAAAGATTAATTTCTTCGGTACAACCATAACATACGAAGGTCTTAAGTGCGATTTCCGACATGTTGAAAGTGATTTCCGATGTTTATATGTTTTCAAAGTGAATCCCGGTGATTTAAAGTAATTTATTATTAATGTAAAATATTTGTGAATACGAAGGTCTTTAGTGCGAATTCCGATATGTTGAAAGTGAATTCCGGTGTTTATATGTTTTAAAGTTATTCAATATTAATATTAATGGAAACTATAAGTAAATAGGAAGATTTTACGAGCGAATTCTGATATCTTCAAAGTGAATTCCGGTGATCGTAAATTATTCCCGGTGTATAAATTTGGTCAAATAATATTGTAAGTTAAAAAATTAGGACTGAAATGCTGATAAAAGAGGCTTTTTGATGAATTACAAATAAGTTCTACACATAACATCTCAAATTTGACGAGTTATTAGATTTCCTCCACATATGTCGAGTAATCTCCCTGTAATGATCAAAATATCGGATTTACGAATCACATTAAATTTTTAAATATTGTCATTGTAAAAGGTCACAAATCACACACAATAGACTATAATAACTGAGAATACTCTGAGCGGCGACAATTAATTGTCAGCGGTACTTATCTAAATTGATTTCATTTATTTATTTCAAAACAAGTTACGATGTCGATGAGCGAAAGTGACAATCGACACAATTTGCAATTATAAATAAATAAATATAGCTATAGTATTGAATTGTTTATTGCACTATATATACCATAATATGTTTCATGTATATAATTACTGTTTTAATAAACTATTAATCAATCACTAATTACAATACATTACAACTAATTGCAACGAAAGTATACATAATTTCTTGTCAACAAAAAGGGGGGGGGGTGGCTGAATGGTTAGCGTGCGCGCGCTATATCATAAAGTCTGTCATTGAGTCAACTGGCGTGGTTTCGATTCCCCGGTTGTACGTGACAAGGAGTAGGGTCGCCTGTCCAACCTCGTGGGTTTTCTCCGGTTTCCTCCCACTGCTAAAGACCCCTACGCGCAAGCGAATTATGTAAATAAAATTAAACCATATTTTAGTCCCGAAATATCCTAGTTTGTGTCGAGTGGACGTTAAACCCCATTTCTCTCTCACTCAACAAAAATCACCTACACGAGTTATCTCTCATGAACCTCCGATTTGGGCACAAAGCAGCGAGGCTTCTTAAACTCAACTAAATTGTTATTTTGTGTTTCCACAGTCAACATTTTTCGAGTTACTGGGTGTTGTTTTGGAGTTATTGGGTAATTCGACGCGCCCTACGTTGGGCTACGTAATCATGATGCATATAATTGAAATGAATTCCAGTAGTCTTTCAAATAAATACACCTACAGCGCCTTCACCTGACCTGTGGAGAGATCAAAATAGGTATTCGTTATTATAAATGTATTATGCATTTAAAATAAATTAGTTTTATGGGAGGAATCGGGTGTTTTCGAAGTGAATTTCGGTGAATTCCCGTGATCATATGTGAATTCCGGGTACGTGGCGTCGGGTGATCCCTTACCAACTGGAGTGTAAACCATTTTCATGCGTGACCTAGAGTTACCCACAATTTTTATACGTGGCCTAGCCTGGCCGATGACGCACCTAACAAAATGTATACGTGGCCTAGCCTGACCCATGGCCCACCTTTTTTATACGTGGCCTAGCGTGCCCCACATTTTCTATGCGTGGCCCATCGTGCCCCACAATTCTTATGCGTGCCTTTACGTGACCCATTACCCACCCAGAGTGCCCACAATTTTAGGCGTCGCTTAGTGTTCCAACATTTCTTGTGCGTGCCCTAGCGCGAACCATTACCCACCTAGGGTTCCCCACAATGTTATGCGTTGCCTTTACTCGCCTATGACCCACCATCTCATCTATGCCCTACAATCCATGACCAACCAAAGGTGACCCACTATATTTACGCGTGGCCTAGCGTGACCATTACCTACCTAGAGTGTCCATAATTTTTTTCCGTGATCTAGTGTGCCCCAAATATGTTGAAAAGTGAAACACCCCAATAACGCTGCAGTTGTTTTGATAAGTCTCCTGTACTGGATGGTAGAGATCGATTCTAACCAGCAAGCAAAATGGTGAACGTAGACTTCTTCATGGGGGAACATACCCTTGTTGCCATTTTTGTTGTTTATATTTATCAGCTCAAAAATTGTTCATGGGCTTGCACATTCTGTCAAAATTACTGAGACATGGTTATTGGGGTGTTTCACTCTTCAACTTTTTTCAGTAATCCAATCTGACTATACTTTTCCATTAGGCCCTCATGTGACTACTACCAATTATCCGTAAAAAAAAACTCGTACAAAATACATATGGTTCAGGTACTTTAAAAGATTTTTAACGTGGCGTGTCATGAATAAAGGGTGTGTACCGGGGTGTCCTAAAGTATTTCTCAGATACCATAAACATCATGATTATGAAATTAACTAAAAAGCAAATGTACGATAGTTTAAATGAAAATATAACTTTTAATAAGATACCATATAACAATTGCACAATACAGGCAGCATCGAAGTAGCCAGTGTGACTTCACAATACCTACGTCACAGATGATTCAATAGTTCATTTTGCTTAAACTCGCTTATAATTTGGAATCAAATTCTACCGTCTGCAGCAGTGCATGTCTCTGCGCTTGGTCGTTCGTCATATCAGTAAAGTCACTTTTCCATTTTCGTTTACAGTTTTACTACATAAAAAAGATAAAACTTAATCCAAGGATGTTCCCCCAATGAACCAACGACGATGACAAAGAGTGCTTTGTTGTTCCACGGCCTAAAACATCGACTCTGCCGATACTTAGGCATGTGCAGTAAGTTATCTTCCTGGCAAAATGGCGACAAAAAATACGACGTGGTGGTGAAATTATTTTCTGGTTTTTTTTAGTTATTTACCCCTGCATGTGATTATCCTACTGATATGAACCTGAATAGACGTTTTGGTGTAATACGTAGCCCAAATTAGATAAAGAGTTAGCAGTTTTCACCATAATAGTTAAAACAAACTAGATAACGTAAATAGAATATGCTGAAAATTTCAGTCAAATTGCCCCACTCTGGGCCGAAATATTAGCTTTTAATGTTAGACTGCGATAAAAAAAAAAAAAAAAGGCGCTATTATTCACTTTTACGTTTATTTTTTTTTTGCAAAAAATGTATTCCAATCCGCTAAATATCGCAGGCTAGAGATGACAACGAGGGTTGAATATGTTCTGGATAAGTTAATTAATGTCTAATAAATAATTTAGACAACAATTCAAGCCTAAAGAAAGACCTGCAATAGGCAGATGTAGCTCTTGTGTAATGTATGTTTAATGCATGATGAAAAATAATTTCCAAGCGCCTGTACGATTGATTAGAGAGGTTTTCCACGATGCTAACAGTATAGCCGTTCCTTGTGAAATTGGTCAATCTACCTAGAAAATCCTCTTTCTTTTTAAAGCGAGCGGCTGCCAGGCAGGATACGCCCACATTTGGCAAGAGATGGATAGAGAACAAAATAATAACAAACGGGATTTTTTTGTACAATCAGGGGCAATAATCCAGAAAGTTATGGTCTGAAATGCGCAAATATTAAAAGAGACTGAGATCTTTGGATATAAAGATATGTTTTAAGTTTCATCAGAATCGGATAAAAATTGTGACCACTAGAGGGTACACAACCTTCGTATTGCATACTTTTACACAATTTGCGTACAAAGAGCGGCCAATTTGTCGGGCAGTTTCATTTCGATTTTCCCGAAATTCGAATTCAACCTTGATTATGGTGGAATGGTGAAATATAACGGTTTTTAAAATCGGAAAAAAAATTGTGACCTCTATAGATACTCCGCAATCTAAAAATGCGATTTTTCGAACACTCAGGAGTCATAATCGAGGAAGTTACGTTCGGATATACGCGATTATCAAAAGGAACCAAGATCTCATTGTGTAATGGTGATATATATTCATATGGTTTTTTTTTAAAATCAGATTAAAATTGTGACCTCTACATGGACGGCAAGATAAAAACGTGATTTTTTGTACATTCAAGGGCCATAATTCAGGAAGTTACGATCCGATACGCGCGAATATCGAAAGGAACCAAGATCTTTGGGTTATAAACTTACATTTCAAGTTTCATCAAAATCAGAGGGTCCACGACCTTGATATACCATATTTTTACGCTATTTGAAAACGAAATTCGAACTCAACCATCCTTAAGGTGTAACGGTGATATATTTAAACGTTTTTTAAAATTTTTTTTATTAAAATCAGATAGAAATTATGACCTCTATAGGTTCCACAAGCTAAAAACGCGATTTTTCGTAAAATCTGGGACCATAATCCATGAAGTTACGGCCCGATACATGCCAATATCGAATGGAACCGAGATGTTAGGGAGATAAACCTATATTTCCAGTTTCGTTGAAATCGGATAAGGGGCGACGACAATATACGTCCACATGAAAATGTGGGCGTATAAAAAAAACGAAAGAATTGTAAGATATTTCAAACCAAATAAGTTGCAAATAATCCAGGCGCCATTTTGAAAGGCACGAGAATCCGTAGCACGCACTGACTTAAAAAAAATAGTGGTTGATGATTTAATTTTTTTTAAAAATGTGGTTTTATTACGTAATTTGATGTTCTAATGCTAGCTTCCTTTGTAATTACAATTGTGATACTCAGAACAAGATGTTCACTTCTACAAAAGACCTGATTGCCACAAAATGAGAAAAGGAAAATGCTGTCAGTTTTGATTATTGGGCCCGATTGTACGAAAAATCTCTTTTGTTGTTAGCTTGTTCTCTATCCCATCTCTTGCAAAATGTGGGCGTGTCTTGCCTGACAACCGCTGTTTATATTTTTTTGTTGTTGTTTAACTGTTACTATTGCATTTTCATTTAAATAACAACATACAACAGTAATATTTGTTCGAATAGCATTGAGATGTTTACGAATAAACGATTCAGCGCAATGAAATTCGATATACGTTTGAAAACCCACTAATGAAGTAATAAAAGCAATGTCCCGCGTATAATGTGTCTTATTTTACAGGATTAATTTAGCGTTTGATATCTAGTAAATAAGAGCTATAAACCGTGCGAAACCCGAAACCATATATGAATTGTGTGTGCGTGTATATATAATAAATAAAAGATTCTACTCTCAGGTAAAAGTTTATAGAAATATTAGGTTTTTAGAAAGAAAAAACTAATTTCATCTTAGCTAGAGAAGATGAAATTATTATTTTTTTCTTTCGTGGGTGAAAGCGCTAGCTAAGATAAAATTATTTTTTTCTTTCTAAATATTAGCGCAACCGTAAAGCTGCACTACTTTGTTTCACGGTAAACGATGAAAAGATAAAAGGTATGCCGACAAAAACTGATTTCAACACTGGTTTAATAACATTTTAACATTTTAAAGTACTTTCATTTTATAAAAAGGGAAAATTTGGAATTTTACTTGTAGGTGTTGTGCACATTTAAAGATATGTCTATTTACAAATATGGGTCCATTTTCAATATTACAATCCGGTCGATGGTTGCGTTCTCTATCCCGTAGATGCGTGGACGTTTCCCCTATGTAAAAATTTAGACACCCATTGCAAGTCAAGACATATATGAGATTTTTTGTGTCACAGTTCATATTGTCGTTGACACTAAATGTAAACTTAAAGGACCTAAGTCCGTAACTCAAAATCCTCCAAAATCTTCGACATCGAAAACACGAATTATTGGTCAATTTAAATCAACATCAACTTACCGGGAAAAGATGAGCTTCTGATATCCGATATTTAAGATAAAATAATTTTTTTAACATTGGTACACGAATCGTGTACCATAATGCGCTTCAGCCCCAGTTGTATCGAGAGACTCGAGGGACGAGGCTAGACACATTGCACCAAATCAAATGGAGTTATGTAGACTAGAATAACTAGACGCTAGAAATTTGCACTCGATTGAGATTGCTGACTTATTTCGCCGAACATAACTGATTTGAAATTGGAGTAAAAACGGAAACCATTAAATGTAAATCAGTTTATATACATTCATATTACAGTATTATATGCGTTGCGACCCACTTTTGTGAATTTCTAGGTCCCAAATGTTAGCGATTTAGCTCCTTTAAGAAAATTATATTTGTTATTTTAAACACACACAAAAATATAAAAAATTTTGAAAAAAAAAACTACATTATTTGTCAATTACTAGCACTTTCGCTTATTTTATTAAGCTCTTCAGATAATCAACATTTTTGTAATACAACAATGATTATGACGTGTGTGTGTATATATATATATATATATATATATATATATATATATATATATATATATATATACAGTTTTCTTCGTGACGATATTGATTATTTACATCAATTGCCTAAACAGGTAGAACCGAGTAGCACTCTCATTAGCTTCGATGTAGTAAATTTATACAATAATATGACAAAAGATCTGGGACTAAAAGCTATAGAATATTGGCTAAATAATCATATTGATTTGATACCAGATCGCTTTTCGAATTCTTTTATTCTCGGTGCTCTGGATATTGTTCTGTCAAATAACATATTTCCCTTTAATAACCTATACTATTCACAAATCAAAGGAGTCGCAATGGGTACTAAAGTTGGTCCCACCTATGCTACACTACCTTGGTTATCTTGAGGAAATATGGTATGAGAGGGTAACAACAACTTATGGAAATGTTTTCAGTGACCTAATAAGGATGTCTTGGAAACGATTTTTGGATGATTGTTTTGTGGTCCTTAAAGTATCTTCAGAAATCATCTCTGAACTCCATAAAATGTTCACAATTGAGCAGAGTAGAACAACACTAAATTTTCTCGATGTGAAATTAATACTACACTAACGGCTCTATTGAAACTGATATTTTTTACAAGCCAACAGATACACATCAATATCTGAATTTCAGTTCTTGTCACCCGTCTCATACAAAAGAAATA